TCGCCGCCTTTATGTTACTGTGGGTTATGGGTGGCGTCAATGACCTATGTGAGTACGTGAAACAAGTTCATTATCTGAGTGAGACAATTATTATAGAATACATTATGACCTGTTTAAACAATGTTGTACATAAAAAGGCATCATTGCTTACGTCAGAGCTTGTGCCACGCCAAGAGCAATCCTAAGGCGTAAGCCCCAAGACAATGGTGTGTATGCAGGGCAATGCAGAGCCTTTTCAAGTGACAGACTCTTTATGTATTCATACACAATGAGATGTTGGTCGTGTTCCATACAGAACCCGACGAGTGTCACAATGTTAGGGTACACCAAATGTGATGCATTCCTTGATGACGTCAAAGAATTTGTTCTTCGCTAATACATTTTCTTTCCCTTATGTCATCTTTCTGCAGTTGTTTCTGCCTTTGTTATTTCTTTAGTATTACTAAAAAGATGCACGTGATACGCACGTGATTTTTTTTCAAATTATTTTTAGTATTAGGTTTATATTTAATAGTATAATATAATTTTCTTTCAATTAGTATTTTTTTTCAAATTATATTTAGTATTAGGTTTATATTTAATAGTATAATATAATTTTATTTCAATTATTTTTACGAAAAATGGTGTATTTTATTGAATAATGAAATGTAGTATTTAATACTATTTGTTGTACTCTATGATAAATAAAATAAATAAAAAAAACATTGGGTTGAAAACCAAAATAAAGTTAATATTTTTTAAGTGAAAACGTAAATGCTAAAGAAATTTATAACGTTTTTTATTTTGTTATTTTATGATATCTTCAATGTGCTTAAGATAATGATTACTATTATTGTCATCATAATATAGTTTTCTAATGTCAGTTTTTTGCATCATACTCTTTCAAAAATAACTCAAAAAGTTTTCTAATGTCATCTTTTTTTCCCTAACTTAATGATTTAGGGAAGAAAGAAAGAAATAAGTAAGCATTTTTCATTTTGCAGTTTTTTCCATTTGCATTATCTGAATACCTGAATACAAAGAGAGATGATGTCACCAAAATAGGAGAGGGACTTGGAGGAGATGGTTCATGCAATGGTTGGATCGACCATCTTTGCCAAAGACGAGCTGTCGTGAAGCTTCGATGAAGCCCATCTCACCAGATATTGCTCTGATGTGGGATTCAAGCTACAAATGGTGACAAAATAAAGATTTTTTCTATTGAAGAGAATGGGAAATTCATTTTTATTTTTTATGTTTTGTTTTGTAAAACGAATAAGGATTGTAATTGTAACGCCCCGTTCGATTTATAGAATTTCTCAGATTATTCTATTTATCGAATCTTAATTTTGAGATTATATTTTATAATATTATATGGATACTGTGATTATATAGCTCGTTCGGTTTTATTTTATCAGTCGCAGTTTGAATTTTCGGTGTAATCGCGTAAGCCGAAGTTTTGTTCGTTTGAATCCGTTTTAGAACCGTTGCTACCTGAACTTCAAAATAATTC